CGGCTGTTTTGTGTGGCGTATTGTGGTTGCTCAAAGAAAGTTAGTCTTGTGTCTGCTGGGGGGATGCAAGGGTACGACGACAGACTTTGGGCTGACTATTTCCCCGAGACTACATTTTCATTGTGAAAATTTTTTACACATTGCCTGGCAGAGGTAATATAAAAAGTGTTGATATGAGATTGATGTCCTTCGACAAATACTTTGTACGACTGATAAGATAATCAAAAGTCTTATAGGTTGCTACATGAAATATTCTATGGTCGATGTTTGCTTCATTTTCTGCTGCCAAAATTTCTTTTCAAAAGTAATAATAAGACAAATCTCTTAATATATGTATGTAAACGTTACTGAGGTATACAGGAGGTGGTGGATATCTAGAGACTCCCAGTCCGCAGTGCGCCAATAATTTTTCATTATTATTTTAAGAATCGGATTTACAGGTTGCCGCAGCGAAAGAAAAAGAACAAAAAATAACGTAAGGATATCTGTCGGATGGTGGCAGCCTTGAAGCGAATTTTCCTTTTTTTTTTTGTGGCGGCCTTGGCCACGCCATATGCCAGACGCCAGGGAAAAAGGACTCAGAAAACCACACAGCAAGCCACCAGAGAATTTTTTGTTGCTTATGGTATTTTCATTACAGGTTCATTAAATAAGTTCAGCAAAACGATCGGATTATTCCAATTGTGCAGCATATGACATAGGAACTAATAGAAGGAAAGTATTTTGGACTAGTAAAATGTTCTTTTTTTATTTATATATAAATCAAGCCACAATTGCTTATGGACTTTTCTTTCTGATATTTTTCAGCAGGTCAACGTTTCCACTCAGAAAAAAATTTAAATCAGATAGATGCACAATTGTCAATCTTCCTGCTGCCTGGAATACAAATGAAGCATCAAAAAATAACCTCCAGCAATTGTCTTGTTAGCAGTCAATAAAGACCTCTCCTCCCAAAAAACAAAAACCGTTGTGATGTCTCATTATGCCAAGGATGGTCCCAAACACAGTCTGGATTGAAATTTGACTACGAGTCATGATTGTGGCAGCATCTGGCACAGCAAAGACCACAATTCGTCTGCAATTGTGTTGGAAATAGATGGATGGAAAATGAGAAATGGATTCGAGCCAGCTGGACGAATGCAAATAGTTTTGCTTAGTTTAAAGCCATCACGTCGAACTATTTTAATATTTTATATATCGTTTACCATTCGGAAATAGAATAGGACAGAGCATCTGAATAAATAAGGAGACGATGGAAACCCTTCTCTGAGCTTAAGCCCCAAACATAAAAAATGGTAAAGCTTTAGAAGGATTTTGAGGCAGTGAAGCTCGACTTCATGAAACCCAAAAGGAGCGGTTCTTAAGCGGCATTAGATATTCAAAATAAAGCGATTGAACTGGAAAATAATCAGCTTAAAATGCTACAGAATTTGAGCAGAAATTTAATTATTCTCTCCTGATTTTCCCTTTCAGAAGAGAGATACAATTTAAATAACATAAATGAATAATTCATTGAATTTATGTACTCAACAAAAAATATAAATTAATTCGCTAATTTTAGGCAAGAGAGTTTTCAAACAAAAAAAACTTGAAAATAAGATAAATAAATTGTCACATTGTTAGTCTGCTCGTAAGATAAATAAATTTGAGAATGCCAAAAATCACAAAGCAGATTTGGGTGCTTGACCTCAAGGAGCCACGAACGTGCTCGTTAGGACAGCATTAGCCCCCACATTGATGACACAAGAGAAAGACACAAAGGAGGAGGACAGTCCATTCCTTTGCACTGTCCCCTCTGCTTGTACATTGCTTGGCGATGGCAATTTAATGAAGCAATCCACCCTTATGTACATTTATTCAAATATTAAGCTGAGCCTTTTAATTGTATATAATCTGGCAAGGCAACAAATCCTCAGTAATGTAATGTAATCTGCAACCTTACAGTCTAAGTTCATTCACTGTAGGTGGAGCATGGGAGGAACACAATTAGTTATGTGGCAGCCCATAAAGGTTTTCATCTTCAATCAGACACTGATCAATGATGCCGATTTATCACCTGAGAGGCAACTCCTACACCGACACCCCACAAAACGGAAATGAATTGGATATACGAATTTCCCATGTCTGCTTGTTGAAGCGAAATAACTTGCAGACTTGCTTTCTGGCAGTCGACATCAATCCACAAAATTGTGGCTGTTAAAATGATAAATTCAAGCGTGTATTTACTACTATTTTAAGCACCCAAAGGCGATGAAAGTGGAGCAGGTGCAGTGGGAAATTTGGGTCTTCTATGCTTTTAATTGGCAGCTCCATGAAGCCCTCAATTAAAATACACATAGGCCACAGATGCTCCAAGCTACAAATTATTAGTCAGTTAAATTTAATTTAATGATATTCTACAAGACATTATTTAACTACACAGTATTTATTTTATTAGTATGTAGTTGTTCTTGAAACATTGCGGAGCACATGTAAATAGTAAAATTTAAAAATAGCAGAAAACAAAAAAAAAAACACAATAAAAACAAATTAAAAACCAAACAAAGAACGAGCAGGAACTTGATTAAGTTCCACAATGTAATCAAAAGTAGTTTTTATTGCCCATATTTCCCAGATAAATCCAAACAGATGCATGGCCCACATTTTACACATGAATTCAACTTGTTTAACTTCTAGTACAGTACAGGAAAGCAGAAATTTGGCAAGCAAAACATAAATATCAGGCCAGAACCTTAAAAATGACAGACACAGAAACCAGCAGACAATTGGCAACTTTTGTAAATGAAATGTGTCATAGTGTTGGGCTAAGAAGCACGGACATTCATAAGCAGCAGCAACTTCATCATCATGGGAACAGACGCTTTCCTTTTGGAACTTTGCAACTTCCATTTAACTTCCAACTAAGGTGTTGAGGGGCCTCGGGCCAAATACCACCAGTGAAATGAAGTGAAACCTTGTCGTTAATGCTAATGACAGCGACAGTTGTTTGTGTTCCTGTCACCATTCACTTGACGCTTTCAGTGTTCGTTTGGTCTGTGGTCGCATCACCACCTGACACATGTCAGTCGCAAGTTTGAGGGACTGCAGAGTTGGGGTGACATGTGGTCACGGATACGTAGAGGGTGACAGGTGCTTGCCGAGGGGTCGCTTGCATGCGTATCCATAGTAATGCATATGCAATTTTACATACAAAATGGTATTAGAAGGAGGTATAGGAATTTGAAAGTTGGTTCCAAATGTTTACTCTTAAATGGGTTCATGTATTTCTTTTTATTTAGCAGAATGGTATCCAGGCACCATTGGAGTGTTAAATTTGTTTTCCTTTTCATATGTTTTCCTGCGCCGACTCCAACCGCCTGCGTCGCCGTCAGCAGCGCCGCCTCTGCCTCAGTTGCTGCCTCAGCTGACGGCCATTATTGCTCTCTCCGTTTAACGCAACGAAACGGAGGAGCACGTAATTCCATGTGCCTGAGCTACGTACTGAAAGACGTAACGTTACACGTGCTTTTGATAGAACAACAAGGAAGCTGAATAACAATTACAAATAAAAATAAGCAGTGGCGGGAAATTAACGAAAGAAAAGGGCAGATTTTGGGTTTATTTAAATTAACTATACTATTGCTCTTACAAAGTCACATACACACACACATCTACAAAAAGGCCGGACCTCTGTGAACGTTTTATTTTTGGGGATATTTTATGTTCAGGCAGCGCGACGCTTGCATATTCTAGCCCCTTTTCAGCAAAGCTTGCTTGTTATTATTTATATTTATATTATATATATCTTGCATCTTAAATTTAATTACGTGCGAACTTTTAGGAAAATTCCCAACTGCTTTTCAGGTTACGTTAACTTTCGAAAACGTGTCTGTGCTGGATAGTAATTGTATTCCTGAACTTTGCTTGCCTTTCAATCAACATTTCCTATTATAGGCGCTATGCTGTCAGTCAGGTCAGTCAGCGCCTATTCTGCCTTGGTTGCATATTTAATTGTCCAGTCATTTAAGTACCAAGCTTAGGAACTTCTGTGCAGATTGCGTCGCTGCCAACTCTAAACAAATCGGAAAACCACAGAAGCCATTCCCCATTTTCAATCCCATTGCCACAGGAACAATGGGCTTTGAAGGTATAATAGACTGACTACCACCAAGGAGCCGTTTATCATTTTAACAGCCAGCAATTTCAGAATTGATAGGAAACGTCTCAAAGTGTGAAACGATTTACAAAGGTTTTTCTACCCTCAAAGGAGAAAGAAAAACCGATTTCGAAATTGAAATGAAAAACTAAGAGAAAATAACCCAAAGGCAATTGAAAGGTAAGCAGCAGCAACAGCAGCAGCGTCTTTCTCTTCCTCTGAGGTCTTAAAAAGGATTTTCATGCTGAATATTTGAGTTTATTTCCTGACAGCAATTGGATTTGCATGTTTCCACCTTGTTGACGCTGCTCAGGTGGGAAATTGACATCATTGATGGGTGTCAGATTGAATAAGAAAAACCTTTCGTGGCTGCCATATAACAAATTGAATTGCTTTGATGAGTTTGAGATTGTTTGCCTTTATCTTTTGAGCATTTCTCATATGAATGTACTCGTATTTGCAAATGTATTTATATACGAGTTTATTGATATAATGTTAAGCAGATGGAAATTGGAAGGGCCCCCAACAGGTTGTGGAGCTGTTTCATTTCTTACCAATCTATTGATTACCTTCAATTTCACTTGGCAAACAAGGTTTATGTCAAACTGGATGGATAGAACCTTCAATTGTATTTAAGAAGAGTTAATTGGCAGTGATCGAGGTTTGACAGAAACTGGAACTGTATGGGCGAATGGCGTACTCCCCCATACGCCACCAAAAAGGCTCGGAATGAGCAGCAATTGAGGCGAACATTCTGCATTCCTTTTGTTCGTGCAAACAAGCAACAACCCACGCACAGATCATCCAGACAGAGACACACGTTCTCATAAGGACTAGATTAGTATATTAATACTAGATAAGTATATTAATACTAGATTAGTATATTATATATGTAATAAGTATTTCAATCGGAGTCCGATGAGTCAAGAATTGTTCCTGTTGACCCTTTCAAGGCCGAAGAGGTTGGCACTTCGATCTCCATTTCCTGCGAGTTCAAAGGTTTGTCAGAATTCAAGTCCGAACAGCTGGGACCTGGAGTATCCGAATTATCGACGTAAACATCGATGTCCATGGGCTCTGCAGAATTCCAGGCCGAACAGCTGGGACCATAGCTATCTTCGATGTCCATTGGTGTGCTCCAGTTCTGTGCATAAGTCATGGCCGAAGAGCTTGTACCCGGCCCACCATTATCCCTATGGGCATCCGTAGCCTTGGCTGAAGCCGAAGACTGGTCAATATTTCCGACAGCCTTCGCTATATCTGCACGCTTCTTGCGTTGCAGCAATTCTTCCTTAATTAGAGCTGGAACACAAAGATTAAATATCTGCCTAGTTTCTGCCATTCACTTAGCGCCATTTCTCACAGTATCCCTTGTTAAGCAGCACTTTTACTAGTCCCGGATCATAGTCCGTGATGCCCTCCGACTTCAGTAGATTTTCAATGCCCTTTGTATCGTTGGGCACATCCATTTTCTTCATGGGAAAAATTTAAGTTTGCGAATTTGCACGAAATTTTCACTGCAGCACAACGAAATCACTTGTAATTATTAGCGAGCAAATTGTTTTTGACGTTTTAAGCCCACAAATCAGGTATGCTTCGAAGTGCAGCTATCGATAGGAAATCATCGCTGAAATTTGGGGAAGCTAAACACCACAAAAACAATTGCTGACTAAACCTGGTCACACTTAGAGAGGGACTCCAAACAACAACAAAAGGCAGGCCTGTTTTCCAAATATCAATACGAAAACTACAATTAGCAACGATTGCACGTAGCACAGTGAGCAAAATGTAAATTTTGGTCGGTATTTCCTGTCTAAATGGAATGTATGTCTTGTCTTCAGTCTACCAAAAAATTTTCTGCGACAGCTCCCAGAGTTCTGTCAATTGTGCGGTGTTCGGCTGGACAACAGCGAGATGGAGCCAGTGACATCTACAAGCTAACCGTGGTGCCCTAGCGAGGGTCTGCTTGGCTACACATATGTACGGACTACTGACTGGAGAACACACACGAGATCAACGCAGTGAGCAGAAGCCAAATCACAGCTCGACACTCGTGTAAATACATTGTCATTTTCCCCTCGTTTTTATTGAACTTATTAACGTTGACATTAACTAGTTAACTTGTTTCGTGTTTGCATGCTGGTCTAAGCTGGTCCCACGGTTGGCATCAGTTCTAGGCCTTTCAACTCCTTGGCCACGAAGACACCCACAGAGAAGAGGGCGCAGCTTTTGATCAGACTCCTGCCAAAAGAGATTCCGATTATGTAAAGTCTTGCGACGCGGATTGCCTGTGGCCTCTGGCACTTACCATAGAAAATGGTTCTTGTAAATGCTGCGTACTAATTTAATTGGTTTCACCATTTTCAGAAAATGGTTTAATTCCAAATTTAAATTTTTTTTAAATTCGTTGCTAGATTTTGCCCAACGAATGTGTGATGAAAATTCAAAGTTTATTTGGATTTCAGCTGCAAAACTTTCTCACTAAATTTAGACAGTTTACACCTGACGCAGTTTGCTATGGATATCGGTGATAAAAGGTGATAAAGCCATAACGCAGAATTAATTGGATGTTCAGTCCAGAATCATTTCCAAACATGCATTGGTTGATTATTTTTTGAATATTCGCTGGGAAAATTAAATGCATGTCTCTCCCCCCATCTCTGCACTCGTTGTCCTTCAAGTTTCTCGTTTGACGAAAGTGTTTTCAAATATGTATACTCGTATATTGCGTTGCCCTAAGCTGTTTTTTGTTTGCTGTCTTATGTCGATATCCCTTGCTCTTAGAACATGAGTGGATCCTATGAAGGCAGTTAAGCTAAGAAGATACCTCAGGCATGAATACTCCTACATACATATATCCCTTGTATTATTGTCGTGGCTTGCTAAATTATTCAACAGACACTGCTCTCCTGTACGCTTGTTCGCGTCTCCTTTAACTGATATTTTAAATATTAAAATGGTTCGACGTCAGTAGAGACGGCAGATGTGTACATGTACTACAACTATTTTCATATCTTCCGGTGCACGTCTCGGTGGCCAGGAAAGTTGTAATCCATGCTAGCCAGAAAAGGCTTTAAAATTTTCACAGCATGCCCATATGTCTGTTCCACACACAGAAAATCGATGGTTCTTTGTGACTCCTTCCGTCAAGCACCTACTTGGAGGCTTCATATCTGAGTACGAGTGCGAATAAATCTCCTGCCTTATGTGCCAAACAATATTATTCAGCACAGCTAATCCATATATCCAGTTCACCCATTCAATTTGTCTAGCCAGCAGGAGCCGGCAAGCGGAAAAATGGATAAGGCAACGGTAATAAAGTTAGAGAGGGGAAAAAGGAAAAAAGAAATAAGCAGATCTCCAGCTAAAATAGGTGAGGATGCTGGCACTTAGTCAGGACACTGTGCGGGCCGACCAACATAATTTGTAACATGACAAGAGTGGGGAGAAAACCAAGCATAAACATGGCAGGAGTGCTGGCATCCTGCTAGTCGTAATATGAACAAGCAAAGTAGCAGTGAAAACAGAAAACAACGAGAAGGAACGTGTGAGTCGCTTCTGGGGACGCGACTCTACTTATACCCGTACTCAGTCAGTATATACATTTTTGAGCTTATAATTTTTAAGAATTTTAGAAAAAAAAAAAATTTTACATTTTACATTTTTTGCTACATATGCTATCTACATCTACATATACAATGTATATTCTACATCTAACATGTAGATTGTACATACATGTTCCAATTAGATTCTACATCTCCTCCGCTAGGGGTTGCTCGCGCACTCAACGCGGCAGAGTGTGCGAGCGAGATGGAAAATGAGTTGAGTTGTCGTTGACTGGAGGGGGGGGCAGGGAAAGCAACAGAAAATTAATTTCTTCATTCTGGCTATAATTATGATCCGATCTGATTCAGATTTGGCAATCTGGTAGATATGGGCATTCTCTACGATACTGCGTTTATAGTTTTATCGTATCTTTAAAATTGTGCCTGCCACAGATTTTCGTCCTTTGTGGGGGCGGAAGGAGGCGGGGCGAAATTTTGAAATACACTTGTAGCAGTGTGATATCACATGAGTCTGGAAACCAAATTTGGTTACCCTAACTCTTATAGTCTCTGAGATCCAGGCGCTCAACAAGACGGACAGACGGACGGACGGACGGACGGACGGACGGACGGACGGACGGACGGACGGACGGACAGACAGACATGGCTATATCGACTCGGCTATTGATGCTGATCAAGAATATATATACTTTATGGGGTCGGAAAATTTTCCTTCTCTGCGTTACACACATCCACTTTTACCACAAATCTAATATACCCCTTAACTCTTTTTTGAGTACGGGTATAAAAACAAGCAAAATGGAAACGCTGAAGATGTTGCACATCCCACTATGACTCGACACAATAAACGATGGGCCAAAATGGCATGTTTACGTAGGATTGTTGCTTCCTATTCCTTTACATGCTTGTGTTTCATATGAGCAACAGCATTGCGAAATATTATTTAATATTGGGCCAGTACACATCAGCGGAAAAAGCAAACCGTGACACAGCTGAAATTACCAATAAACATTTGTTTTTGCGAATCGCTCTCCTGTTTTTGGCTCTCTTCTTCACCTGATGCGCTGTTTGCCCCGCATAATTGTGCCTAACAAAGTCTACAAAGAGAACTAGACCAGCAGTTGTAGAGACAGCTCTGCTGCAAGCCCTTTCCAAATACCAAATAGCCCCAGTTTATATAGGAACATGAGTACAAATTGGATTAGGAATGCTTGTTGTCAAGTCTGAAAGAGATAGTGGTAACTGAACGAAAGGTTTAAGTGCTTTAACGTGGCCTATTACTGTTTGAGTTTCGCATCTGTTTGCTCATTGCTGACACAATTTCCATGTAATCATATCGATTTTCAGCCAATTAATATCAACAAGTTCAACCCAATGGTACACAATGTTCTATGTTTTCTTGGATAATGTAGTTTGCACTTCATTCCAGCATCGTCTCCTCATACACTCGAGTTTTCGTCAGACATAAAATATTAGAAAATATCGCTACTAACACAGATGGTGTCGAAAGGATGGTGTTTTACAGGACAGTACCCTCTTCCCATTTCTGGAGCATTTGCTTGTTTGTTGCAGCTTGTTCTGTGCTTTTTTTTAACCACAGAACTCAGTGAAAACGAGCTTTGTGTTTTCCTTTGGGGTTTCAACTAATCTCATAAACTTTCCCTAGCCATTCCTAGCTTCAGCTTTAAAGTTGTGAGTTTCGTTCTTTCTCTTTTGTTTATGCCACTTGGTGTGTTTTATGTTCTGTGAAAAATATTGTTCTATTTTTCTTGCTAGTTTTCATCATTTTTTGCAGACCATTTCAAAGTTTTTACGGCCAAGTCGGGATGTTCATTCGCTCGATCTCACTTGATTCTTATCAAATTTCTTTTGAAAAGTAACCGTACACCTAAATTTTTCAGCTCCTAACCATTTTGCTGTAATCTAATTGGCTTCCTTTGCCACTTGCATTCTCTGTCAGTTACTAAGCCAATTTCTCAGCGTTTGTAATTAAATCTTGCCCAGGGCATTGGTCTGCAACAGAGAGGTAGAACGGAAATAAAGAAAACGAGGAAAAATTTTTTTTTTGTTAAGGAGTTTCCATTGAAGGAAAAGTCGGTGTTCCTTCTAAGTGGATGTAAAACGATTTGACTTGGTGACAACTTTATTTCCTTCTCTACCTTTTGCTCCAAAGAAGTGCAGAGAAAACCAGGGAGTACAAAGAAAAGAAAGAAGAAAAGTCTTGGACATTCAGACCTTTAACGATTTTATTTTCCAGGTTGATAGGAGAAAGCGTCGTCAGAAATGAAAAATTGTCGACAAATGAAGACTTTTATGGTCGTCGCCAAGTATGGTAAATAAGTGGCCATACCTGACCAAAACATTATGCAAATGTGCTGGCAGGTCGGCCTGTGGCCTCTGTGATTTACGTATATGTGTGGCACTTGGTGTGGCACTTGAATGTTTGGCCTTTAAATTAGGAGAAATTTAACATCCAAAAAGAACAAAACACTTGCCTTTAAATAGGCTTGATGAAGTGCCTTCTCCTAAGTCCCCTTGTTGCGGAAGGAAATGGCTGCGGATACAGGAAGTCGGCAAGTTTGCTTTACAAATAACTTTGTGTAGATTGCCTCGATTGAGGGTGAACCCCACCGAGATGAGAAGCAGCAACTGTCTTGTGTAGATTCTCATGATTTGTCGTGATTCACGTGGAACAAAAAAGGATTTAAAATGTCTCGGAGATGAAAACGAGCAAATGACAGTCATTAAAATGTAAGTTGCTCTCCGCATTTCCATTCCCCGGATAAGAGGCAATCTCCACATTGCCATTTCCACCTAATTCCAACAAAATGTCGCGCAGTTATTAAAATCCTCAGCACCGCCCAGAGGCCCGCCCCACCTTCGTCTTAAACCTGTGCCTTTTGAGTGTTAATGAATTTCGGCATGAATAATTATGCAAATTTATTCGGTTTTTATTAGCCAAGGCCTGTGCCGTGTGTTTTATTCAATTTTTCTTATTGCTTTTGGTTTCTTTGTTCATTCTTTGGCTTTAAAATACGTGCTTCAATTTCGTTACCATATTAAAGTCCTCCCATTTAATTCTGTAAAAAATAATTCTGAATTAAAGCAAAAAGGGTATGGATTTTACAGTGAATAATCTTACCCTGAAAAGAAACAAAACAAAAGAATATAAACAAACTTTCCAACTCTCATGGGACAAACTCTGACATTAGATCCCCACCCCTAATGGCGCCGAAATTGAAAAAGGTTTCGTGAAGCCCACTTTGAGGCCTCGTAAATTCAATAAAGGTTCAGCCAGTGTTGATTCAGAAACAAAAAAAAGCGACGAGCAAACAAGGAAGCAACGTCAGAAAGGGTAATAAGTGACCCTGAGAGTGGTGAGATAAGTGGAAGAGTGTTATTAAAGATCAATGAAGGTTATACAGTAAATATTTGGCTACATTCAGAGAGTGCGAAAATGTTCCCGCAGCGTCTGCTATTTACTTTCCTTAAAGGATAATCAAATAAATATATAACGAAGTAATGAAATCAACACTTTGTTATATTATTTTGTTAGCAAGTATCTTTCACCTCGTCACCTTCTATTATAACTAAAACTCTTTCATTTCTTTGTAAACTTTTCATTCCATTCAACAGTCAGAACAGCCGATGCGCCATCAAAAGCTGAGACTTCAAATTCAGAGACTCAGCCAGGCTACGTGACCCAAATAAACCCAATTTCCTGCCTGCCACCAGTTGTGGCCATCTGTTTCGTTGCGCTTTCGTAGACTTTTTCTGCTGACAGGGTTTTAAGCCAACTTTGTCGAGTGCCAGGAAGCAAAGAAAGAGATGTAGGAGGTAGAGGAGGTTCACTCTTACTGTGGTCGCCGACATTTTTTCACAATTTTCCTTGTCTATCCAAGGCCATGGAGA